CAGCGAATAAACTAAACTTAAACTAGGGTTGTGACGGTGAGGAAATTTTCCCACCGGTTAATCGACGTGTGACAACACCGGTAATACCGGTATCACCGCGGGGGCGGGGCGTTCCCTCTTTTCCTCGCTTTTAAAAGCGGTGTGCCCATTTTACTTTAACTTTCAAATAGCGGCAATTCGGAGTAAAGCAATTGTTAATTTTTAGTTTGTTTGAATTTTCCCTCTTTTCCTCGCTTTCCTTCGCTTTTAAATAGCTTAAAAGCGCCGTGCGCATTTTACTTCATTAACGTAAACTACGCCAGAGCGCGTACACACCTCATGCATCGGATGCCGTGCGCGCGCTCAAGGAAGTTGGATATAGTGGTGTATTAGAGGTAAAAAATTATATAAATACTGTTCAGTTTCTTGCACAGACCGATCGTTTCGTGTCTTTACACATCAATGTATCGTCACGAGCTGCAGGGTTTAATTTGGATTTGTCTGTGCATGTTTTTTTTACTCTCATAGATTTTGTTACCATTGCCATGCATTATACGACTGACAGACTGCAACGGTTAAAGTTAAAAATCATCAAATGTGTTCTACTGAAGAAACAAAGTCACCTACATCTTGGATGCCCTGGGGGTAAGCAGATAAACATCACATTTTCATTCTTGGGTGAACTATCCCTTTAAAGATCGCTTCATCTGGAAAGCATCTGCTGTGTGCAAACATCTGATAGGTCATTTTACATTCATTCTAAATCATAAGCATCTGATAGGAAACGTCCTATAGACGTATCGCAGATGGGCAAACACTCTAAAAAATACGTCTTGCAGATGTAATGCAGACGTCGAATAGACATCTCCCTGACGTATGTGTGCTATCAGGGAAGCTGCATATTTAAATTTCGACAGGAATGAAAACAACATAGCGACGAGACGTCTTCGTGGAAAGAAAAAAAGAAGAAAAAAGAAACTTCCAGGAGACAAAAACTCCATAAAAAGAGTTTTGAAAGTTGCGAAAACTAGTGAATGGACATACTACTTTGCTTGAATATTGGAATAAAAGTAATAAAAAATAAATAAAAATAATAAATGTTTTGAAATTGCTTCACCACTAGGTTCGCCGCAAAGTGTTGATTTCTGTGCACCCATGAACCATATGATCTCAGATCAGTTTTATATACATTTGTAGACATTTTGACACATTTGTATAATAAAAAGAAGAGTTGTATGATAGCACACGTCCATCACAGAGACGTCTATTTGACGTCTGCATTACATCTGCAAGACGTATTTTTTAGAGTGTTTGTTCATCTGCAATACGTCTATAGGACGTTTCCTATCAGATGTCAAATAGACGTTTAGAAGATGTCTTTAAGATGTTTATGAATGTAAAACTGACATCTTAAAGACGTCTATCAGATGTTTGTACACAGCAGATGCTTTCCAGATGAAGAGATCTTTAACAGACGTCTTGCAGACGTACCTGTGCTATCTGGATTTTGGACTTCTTAAGCTCTTCATAAAACAAACAAAACAAGCCAAATAACACATATTATACAGACACTTCGTATTTGATGGTATTAGATGATTTGTTAATTGCATTTAATACAGTACCTTTTCAATGAAACATTTACAGTTGTTTGTAAAAGGTGTTTTTATGCACGTTTGGCTGAGTTTTCGTTGCACTTACAGCGTTCTGACCAGCAGGCGTCTCCAGCGCGAATCTCTAGCGCGTCGAAACACTGAATCATTTCGCGGAGGAATCGGTTCAATTGATTCAAAACTTCGAAAAGTTTCGGCACACTGTGCACTTCATAACGATGAATTAATTCACTGATAACTGTGTTCTTCAAAGATGATATTTTGAAATCGTTTATGAAAAATCGATGTTAACCTTTCTTTTATATATTATTTATTTTTTCTGTGCAATACCATATAGATGAAAAACAAACAAAATCGTTTCATTCTGTATGCCAAACAAACTAAAATTGCAAAAAAAAAAAAAAAGGGAGACAGGCCTGATCTATAAACCTTGTCACGCACATATCAGCATTTATAAACAGTAACATCTCCGCACACACTCTTTTACTGTGTGATAGCGATGAAGTAAACAATGCTTTATATTTAGACATTTAGAGTAAATATAGAACTCTCATGAGTTTAATTAAGCACACAAATTATGTGACATAATTATTGAGAAGTTAAATTATTAGAAGTTAAAAATCGCCCGTTTGGAACAGACATGGGCTACTGTATGATTCGAAGTGCTCCAATCGGATCGCGAATCATTTTATTCAGATCGGGACTTCGGAGCGGGTTTGCGAATCATATCGCGAAATTAATAATGGTTCACAATTGTTTTATTCAGACTGGCGCTGCGTCCCAATTCATATATATATACTATCCGTCCAAAATAGTGTTTGACATTAGAATTAGTATGTCCCAAATCGTAGTATGTTGAAATGAGTGTTACAAAGGTAGCCAGATGGTTTGCTGCTTCCGGTAGAAATGCGAAGTGACAACACATTGCGCGGTGGACGAGGATTCGATTAGAACTACAAACACGCATGGAAAAGTGTTAAAAACTACAAACATGGTGGATATGCGAGAACTACGGACAGGTAGAGAAAGGGGTTTGAGTGATAAATAATATCTAACCTGTTGAAAAAAATATTTATTTAATATGTTATCCGCGTTACATTTCATCTGCAGCAACACTGTGAACTTTATAATGATACGTTTGGTCATTAACTTTTAAATGCATCATTACGCAAACACATGAGCAGAGTTCTCGGCATGATAGACCCGCTACTAGCAGATCAACGTGCCTCTTCATTTCTCTCCAATACGGTAGGAAATCAAATTAAACGAAATATGGATAATGTTAACGTTGACAAGATGATTGACAGGGCAGTTTAAACAGTGACCGAATGCTCGTAACTAAGCAACAGAGCGTCCATTAAAAGACGCAGTTATGATGAAGTAGCATGTCCCGAAGCTTGCCTACTATTCTGCTACATACTCAAAAGTATGTACTTTTTCTTCACAAAAAGAGTACATACTTTTAGGGCACAGTATAAGTAGGCGAATTGGGACGGAGCGGAACTTCAGAGCGCAAACCGCGAATCACTTGATTTAGATCGGAACTTCGGAGCCGGTTCGCGAATCTTTTGATTTAGATCGGAACTTCGGAGCCGGTTCGCGAATCTTTTGATTTAGATCGGAACTTCGGAGCCGGTTCGCGAATCTTTTGATTTAGATCGGAACTTCGGAGCCGGTTCGCGAATCTTTTGATTTAGATCGGAACTTCGGAGCCGGTTCGCGAATCTTTTGATTTAGATCGGAACTTCGGAGCCGGTTCGCGAATCTTTTGATTTAGATCGGAACTTCGGAGCCGGTTTGCGAATCTTTTGATTTAGATCGGAACTTCGGAGCGCGTATCGCAAATCTTTTGATTTAGATCGGAACTTCGGAGCCGGTTTGCGAATCTTTTGATTTAGATCGGAACTTCAGAGCCGGTTCGCGAATCTTTTGATTTAGATCAGAACTTCGTAGCCTATGTACTTTTTCTTCACAAAAAGAGTACATACTTTTAGGGCACAGTATAAGTAGGCGAATTGGGACGGAGCGGAACTTCAGAGCGCAAACCGCGAATCTCTTGATTTAGATCGGAACTTCGGAGCCGGTTCGCAAATCTTTTGATTTAGATCGGAACTTCGGAGCCGGTTCGCGAATCTTTTGATTTAGATTGGAACTTCGGAGTGCGTATCGCGAATCTTTTGATTTAGATCGGAACTTCGGAGTGCGTATCGCGAATCTTTTTTTTCTGATTTCTTTCTCTTTTTTTTTATTAAACCGTACAAAACAAACCATTAAAGCAGTACAATAAAAAAAATTTAAAAAAAATTTTTTTACACTGAAATAAATCCCTTAAGACGACAACCATGGTTTTATTATAGTAAAAATTTAACTTTCTTTTTGGCGTTTTACTACAAATACCATGGTTAAACTATGGTTAGTGATGCAAAACCACAGATAATTTGTGGTTACCATGATTATAGCAATCATGGTGTTTATTTCATGTAAATGTACACCGGTTTCTCACGCCAATAAATTTTATTTTATTTTTACTTTTTTCTCAAGCCTAGAAATTCTCCATTAAAATCAACAGGGATTTGAATTCAGATGTTACTGAACTTAATTGTCCTGTTCTTGTTCTGAATAAAATATGAAACAAATACCTTTATTATGCTCCAAAGAATCATAAATCAACTCAAGAACTATGGGTTTTACTTTGTAAAATCAATCAGCACTATAAAAAAACCTAACGGAAACATCAGGATCATGCAAGACATGAAGAAATAATCTTTAAACATGATTTTGCAAAAAGCATTTATTTTAATTTATAGCCTAACAGTTTTTTAAACTTTATTATTTGAACAAAGAACAGCAAAGTATTCACATAAAAAAAACCCAGTTTCGGCTCTGAACATTGATCAGATGTGATAAGTGCGAGCGAACGGTTAGACGAGCGTCTGAAGTCGAGTCGAGACTCACATGACGGCACAGCTAGCGTCCTGATTGTGTCTCTGAGCCTGAAACACACACAGATTATTCACAAACATCTGCATGAGAACGACTGAATGAACTAAAGCAGAGCACGAACGTTCACGTCTGAATCAAGCTGCAGTCTAGAGACGACATTCATGCACACAGCAGATTCACCAGATGAACAAACAGAGAAGTTAAACACATGCATCTGCATGTGCCAGCCTGAAAAAAAGCAGTGACGGTAGATTTACCATAACATTATTGTATTGCAGATTAAAGATGTCAGTCTTTCTAGTAGATTGACCTTTAAGTAGATGGAAAATAGATGCAAACAAATAAGAAAAAAATACATAAAATTAATCAATATATAATATAAATAAAAAGATAAATGCATAAAATTTAAAATAAATATTAAAAATATAAAAATACAAATATATACAGAAAAAATAAAATGCAAACAAAAATACATAATATAAGAAAACAATACATGAACAAAATGACTTAAAGGAGACATATTATGCCCATTTTTACAATATATAAGTCTCAGGTGTCCCCAGAATGTGTCTGTGAAGTTTCAGCTCAAAATACTCCACAGATCATTTATTATATCATTTAATAAAAAAATGATAAATAGGTAGTAATAATAATAATAATAATAATTAGTATTATTAAATAATTTAATAATATACAATTAAATTGTGAAAGTTGCATAAAATTAGATCAAATTGCTGAATTTTAAATGAAATATAAATAAAACAAACAAAAAACAAAATAATTAATAAAAAAAGAACGAATAAACTAAATAGATTATTAAAAAAATAATACAATTTAGTTGACAAAGTTGCATAAAAGACGATATAAAACTTGCTGAAATTATTTTAAATAAAATATAAAAAAAACAAAATACATAAATACAAATGAAACAAAAGAAATAATTAAATGAATAAACAAAAATAAATGTAATAAAAATTAATGAACTAAATAAATAGGTAGTAGTAATAATAATAATAATAATAATAAGCATTATTATTAAATAAAAATACAATTAAAATGTGAGTTGCATAAAATTAGATAAAATTGCTGAAAATATTTTAAATAAAATAAATAAACAATAAATAGATAATATAAATAATAAAATAGATAAAAATAAATGAAAAAAATAAAAAAATAATTGATAAAAACAATAAAAATGAATGAATAATAAAAAATAAATAAAATGAATGAGTACTAAAACAAACAAATAAATAAAAATGTTTTATCCATTAATTATAGTTTGGAACAGACACGCTTGTTAATCAAGCTAAATTATTTAGTGACCAATAATCTCAGAATGACCAAATGTCCAACACGGAGGTAAAATATCTTCTGTGAATGTGCGAGACTTCTGATTCATTAGCCGCTATATTAAACAACTAGAAGAATAAGCGCAGGAAAATAAATAATAGCATTTTGCACGATCAAACAGACGGTGTTTGCATGAATAAAATAACTGGAAGTGAATGACACCGAGAGTCTTACACATTCAAGTAACAAAAAATGTTTTATCATGCATTAAATAAAGCAATAAGCCCCGTGAAGTCTAATGTTTAATTTAAGTACAAAAACTAAAATAACACTGAAATATTTATTTGTATATATATATATATAAATAAATAAAAAAAATATAGAAAAAAATTATAAACACTAAAAAAGACCAATAAAATAATTTTAATTATTAAACGCTATATAGACGTTAAAAAACTAACACAAGTGATAAAAACATAATTACTAAAACGTACTAAATTGAAAATGGAAAGAAAAAAAAAAGACAAATATTAAATATAGGCAAACAGATACATAATTAAAGACAAATTGTGAAGAACATGCACGGATATTAATATTCTGGCTGGTACTGATTATCTGATATTAAAATTTAAACTATTAAAACAAAATAAATGTAATATAATAACATATATTAATAATAATAATATTCACCAATATTAAAACTCTGTATGGTACTGACAAGCTGATATTGAAATATATACTATTTTACCTAAATAATAATAAATTTAGGTACATAGCACTTTTCACAATACACAGCATTTCAAAACAGCTTTACAGAAAATAATGATTTATACTTATACATCCACATTCATTTTACTAAATTGAAAATGGAAAAAGAAAAAAAAAAAAAAAAAAATTCTAAATATTAATAAACTACATAAACATAAAAAAAGCGACAAACACAAAATTACTAAAACTTGAATTAAATTAAAAAAGGAATACTGTATAAAGTAAAACAAAAACTCAATATTGATAAAAACTATATAGACACACAGTATTAAAAAAGTGATAAAAACAAAACAAAAAATACTAAAAATGTAATTAAAATAAAATAAAAAACACAAATGACAAAATTAACTAAAATGAAAAAAAAAAACTATTTAATTTTTTTTTAAAAACCTAGTTAAGTGACATCAAAATTACTAAATTTTAAATTAAAATAAAAAATAGAATAAGAAAAAAAAAATCTAAATATTAAAATGGATAGATACAAAAAAAATTAAAAATAAAACCGCAATTACTAAAATTGAAATAAAATAAATTCTAAATATTAATACTATACAGTATAAAAAATAAAAAAAAATTACTACAACTATCAAATTAAAATGAAATTATAAAAGTGAAACATTTAAAATATGATTAAAAACTACGCAGACATGCTGAACAAATGCGATAAAAATAAGACAACCAAAACTTTCACAAACAAAAATAAAAATAAAAGTAGTAATTCAAAATCTTAAATGATATAGACATTAAAAAAAATATATATATATACACAATTATAAAAAAAACAACAAAACTACTAAAACTTACAACATATTAATAAAAACTAGGGCTGCACAATTAATCGAATTTCTAATCGTGATTACAGTTACGGATGCCACAATTACGTAATCGTTCAAAGCGGCAATTAATCGTT